GTCCACCCCACATAGTATACATGTAGCTGAACCTTTCTTCCTCATGTACCAACACTGACCCGACTGCCTTATGAGAGGCAGCCAGGTAAAGCAACAAGATTTTGCCCTCCTTGGGCTTAGATAATAGAGGTGGAGTTAAGATGTACCTTTTCAAATTCTCGAAAGCAGCTTGGTATTCCCCAGTCCACCGGAAACCCTCTTGTTTCTTCATGGCTTTGAAGAAGGGCATGGCTCAGTCAGCGGAATTAGACAGGAAGCGGCTGAGAGCGCCCATCCGGCCAGTCAGGCACTGCATCTCTTTGAGGTTGCTGAGAGGCTGCATGTCCATAATGGCCTGTACCTTTTCTGGATTCGGCTCGATTTCCCGTCGGGTGACCATGTAACCCAAGAATTTTCCGCCTCTAATAGCAAACACGCACTTCTTACGATTCAGCCTCAAATTGAACTTCCTCATTACCTCGAAGTAGTTGGTCAGGTCTGTGGCATGGTCACTTTCTTCCTTGCTTTTGACTAGCATGTCATCAACATAGGCAGTTAAGTCTTTGAATAATCGGGCAACCATTCCAGTGTATGTAGCTCTAGCATTCTTGAGGCTGAACGGCATGACCTTGTAGCAATATACCATGTTGGGAGTTATGAAGGCGATTTTTTCTTCATCCAACTCGTGCATGAATATCTGGTGGTATCCTCGGAAGACGTCCATAAAGCTAAGCAGGGCGCATCCAGCCGTATCATCAACCAATTGATCGATCCGAGGTAAGGGAAAAGGATCCTTAGGGCACGCCTTGTTAAGTTCGGTATAATCCACACAAATCCTCCACACCGGCGGCTTGGGCACCAACACCACGTTGGCCAGCCAGCCGAGATATTTCACTTCTCGAATGTATCCGGCCGCCAACAGGGTGTCAACCTCTTGCTTTACAAAATCTCTTCGGTCGTTGGACAGGTATCTCCTCTTCTGTGCAACAGATTTAAGGCCGAGATTAACCGCCAATTTGTGGGTTATGATTGATCGGTCAACCATCAGCATGTCCTCGGTACCCCAAGCAAATTCTTCTTATAACTTCTGAGCACATCGATGACGGCTTGCCTCATAGGTTCGGGCAATCCTTCTCCAATCCAAACATTTCTCTCCGGGCGGCCGGGTACCAACATGACTTCCTCCAACTCGACGGTCGGGGCCAGGTGTGTAACACCCCCAATTTTCATATATCTGAGCCTAGTATTAATCTTTTTTTTGAAGGTAGCCTAGTATTAATCTTAATTAAAGGGTAAAGTTGCGGAATAAAGAAAGAGGTAAAAAACTATTTACCCAAACAAACAACCAAAAAGGGGATGTTATTCCGTAGCTACCCTCAATAGAGTAACTACACGAAAAGAACTAACTAACCATAACACAACGTCATCGTCATAAAACATCATATACGGTCCACATATCCAAACATTCGAAGTCTAAGCTCGAAACATAAGATAATTATTTTATAAGATATCATTTTGATAATAAAAATTTTAAAAACAAATATTTTATTTATACTAGTCATTAGTTAATGTAGGAACAAAATATTGTAAAAGGTTTTACTAGATTTTATAAAATAGGTTTAATTTAAAGGAAAAAAATTTTGGGTTGTTACATTCTACCCCCCTTAAAACAGGCTTCGTCCCATAAGCTTAGGCCGGGGTAAGGAAAAGAGTGTTTTGGATAGGATTTCAAAAACAAATTTTATGAGTATCAGGGGAGGGTTTGTAATCAGGAGAGATGATGAATATTGGAAACAACTCTAGTTTTGGAAGGAATTCAAGAGGGTTTGAGAATAAGGATTTGGGAGTGATAGATACCTCAAATCAGATATCTGGACGGGAAGGTATAGCAAGGCAGTCAGGTCAAGGCATGGACCGATACTTAGCGAGCTAAGGACCCTCAGAGCCCTTTAATCATTACATAAGACGCCTAGCGATGGCGCCCAGTCATCTTCCGGCGACCAGTTAGCCATCGCGACAGGCGCTTACACAGGCGGGGTTTTGCCCGCGCGGATAGAGCGACCAGTCCCGGCAGCAGGTGTGTCCTCGGCCGGGCTCTCAGGCAAGATTAGGTTGAGCGACCAGCCTCGGTGGTCGGTGTGTCCCCGGCTGAATGCTTTGAGGAGCTCAGATGGGCGACCAGGTTACTCGGGCGGTGTGTCCTCGGCCACGCGCCGTTGGGGAACTCAACCAGGCGACCCGGCTCCGCGGGCGGAGTGTCCTTGCCCGGACGCGGCGGCCCCTAAAAGCACCCCCTTACCACCGGGACATTCCCGGCCGGGGGCACGTCCAGAGATAGATACCAGCGAATTCTGCGGAAGCTATCTTCACTCATTAAGTAGCTTCCTTAATTAGTTTAGACGGTTATGGTAGTAAGTAGGCAACCGTGGCAGCCCTACGTCAGCCCTACTTACTCTAGATTCGGCCTTTCGTCAACCCTACTTACCTTGTAAGAATCTCATACTCATGTATAAATACCCCCACGGGATCAATATGTAAGGGATCGGCACCTTGAACGGCCAAACGTTGGAGAAATAACACTGCATTATTCTCTCTTCTCTCAATTTTATTTTCCCATCTCTTGCATTCATATTTTTACACTCCAAACCTATTTTTTACGGTAGTGTTGACCCACCGAACGGCTACCCAAGGCTATAAAAACCAATAGGGCGAATCATGCAAGCATTCAAAATACAAGCACTACTAATATTCCATCTACTAAATGGAATTTGGTAAAGCTTAAGGAAACTTAAACGATTTCCTCGGACCAAAGTCCCTCGGTGCACCACCTTGATAACCAAAGCTCAATTGTTGCCCCTGACGGGCCATCTATGAAAGAATCCTGATTTCAAATCTCGATCCAACACTTGACATCCTTGGGTGATGTTTACAGAAACCTTGATTCATTCTCTTACCAAGTGTGGAGAATCCAAACTCCATACTCCCCTGTAGTTCATCCATCACTTATAACATAGGTTCTTGGTCTTGACCTTTCTTTCTTCTTGTCTCTTTCAACATTGATCATCATTCTTAGGAGCATTGCTAGAATCACACATCTCATAACCTTAGTCATTACTTTCCTTATTCTTTACGTCTTTAGCATTTTCTCAATCTCAACGCTTAAACTTCTAACATATTAGTAGTGCTTGATCCGCTTGAAAAGGGGACCACGGTGTGTAGGGTCGTAAGTCCCCCCTTGAAAAGGGGACCACGGTCCACCGACTGTGCGCGTCAGCGGTGTGTCGGATTGTGGTCCGACGTTGAGTTCGTCAGCGGTTCTCTATGGGTTGGTGTCGCGGTATGAGGTAGGGTGCTGCGGGGCCGTGTTAACGCTATACGCGTTAACCCTCATGTTCGGGGCATGCGATTGGTCTCGTGGCCCCAGAGCAGTGTGATTGAGTGTCACAATTGATGATTGAATGATGATTGAATGATGATTGAATGATGATTGTATGATGATTGGATGACGATTAGAATGATGATTAATGTGGGCATAGACTATGACTTTAGTTGCGTATTCTTTATGATGATTCTACTTAACTGTTATCACTAATTATTGTGCTTACCCCTATTTGCTGAGTCCATTCCTGGTTTTAAAATTAGTGTCTCTTAAGTGCATATCTTCCAGCTTCAAAATGATTTTCGTATATCTATATATATCTATCTATAATATATTTCAACGCGTTGGAGTGGGTTACCAGCATCTCTCCCTGAACAGATATATTTGGCTTTCAGGCACAGAGGAGTAGACACCGGAGCGCGCTAGAGATCTGAAGCGTAGTGTAGTTAGTTTCCCCTTTTCGGCCTGCGTGTCATGCTTATGTACTGACTTTACTTTGAGGATTTTAGTTAGTTGCCTGTGCACCTGAGCTCCCTAACTCAGGTGTGGCATAGCACCCCGTACTCCTATGCTTACTTTTGGGACTAAATACGAAATTACCTTTGTTATATAAGTTTTAAAAGTTTCAAATTTTCGGGGTGCTACAAAGCCAATCAAGAACATATATATATATATATATATATATATATATATATATATATATATATATATATATATATATATATATATATATATATATATATATATATATATATATATATATATATATATATATATATATATATACTTAAGTATTAAATTTTAACCAACCATGGTCCTTTCAAGAGGACCACGGCTGGTTAAATTTTGAAACTTGAAGGACCATATGTGGTTAACTTGGACCACGAATGGTTAAATTTGAAAGTTGAAGGACCACAGATGGTCAATTTAAAAGTTTAGGACTAAACGTGACAAAACCACTATACTCGGAGGACCTCAGATGGTATTAACTCTTAAGTAAAAAGCATACAAAAGATAACATGTTAGCACGAATGCTAAGTATAAACCACTCCAACTTGTAAAGTACATATATATATAGATTGGAAAAATGGTTTGACACTTATAATACGTTAAGCCAATCAAGAACATCGATGCAAATCAAATAGGTTCACAAATGTATAGATATACATATACAATAATAGTACTTAGTTAATAAGTAACCGGTTCACATGCAAGTGAAAATCATATTCCAGTACTCATGCAATTCATACCCATATATATATATATATATATATATATATATATATATACTTATTACCTATTAACAAGACATGAATCTAGTTGACTTTGGTATTACATATTACGGGAAAGTGTTACATATCGTCAAATGAAACTATAGTAAAATTAAAATGATACTTTGGTATTGCTATAATAAAATTAGTGTGTGGAAAATGAAACTGTAAAACAGAGCAAGAAGGCTAATACATCGCTCTATTGTGAATCAAACTTGGAACCTTGATTGATTTGATATTATGGCTGGCTGGCCATGGATGGTGGGATACTGATAGGGACATTTAATTTGGGAGATAATCTCAAATCATTAATTACCATGGCGAATAGTAGCGTAGCTATCCTGACTCCTGAGCTGAGCTTATAAATACCACTTAATATCAAAGCAGCAGCCAGCAGGAGCCCCCCAGCCAGTATATAATTCACTCTTCTCTTTTCTTCTCGATCAATCTTCGATCTCCTCGAGAAAAACTCATCATCTTGTCTTTGACAACAATATAATATAATATAATTATTAATCAATGGCGTGCTTGTTTCCCCCACGATTCTCAGTTCGGCTAACCACGAAGCCGGAGTTGGTGACGCCCAAAACCCCGACGCCCCGAGAAAAGAAACCGCTCTCCGACATCGACGACCAGGCTAGCCTCCGGTACCACATGCCGGGGCTATGGTTTTACGAGAATAAAGAATCCATGGTCGGGAAAGATCCAGCTAAGGTTATCAAAGAAGGATTGGCCAAAGCGCTAGTGTTTTTTTACCCGTTGGCCGGTCGCCTCACCGAAGGCCCCAACAAAAAGTTGATTGTGGACTGCAACGGTGAAGGCGTATTGTTTGTGACGGCTGAAGCCAATATTGCGCTTCACAACTTGGGTGATTTTATACACTCCCCATGTCCATATCTCAAGAAGCTTCAGTATAATGTGCCTGGCTCTCACAGGATCACTGGTTGCCCACTTCTCTTGATTCAGGTAAATTTTTTTAAAGTTTTAATATAATCAAATAAAGTTTAGTGAAACCAGTTTGGTTGGCATGAGTGATCGTGCACTCTCATCTTACACTACTGAAAATTATAGAATTTTCTACCACCTGAAAATAATCTTAAATTAAATTATACCAAAAAGTCTAAAAAGTGGTCGGAAATAGCAAAGGTTTTTCCGGATACCAAAAGTGGTCGGAACAAGGCTTTCAACTTGATTTAAGATCAATTTCAGGTGGTCGAAAATTTTATAATTTCCAGTAGTGTCATAAGAGAGGTTGGGAGTTCGAATCCTTTCTTGTATGAAAAAAGCAATCTTAGTCGGACTTTTACGAGTTTAAAGGTGCCTCATAGACATGCTTAGTACACCTCATAATCTAACAAAAAAAGAAAAAAAAAAAGGTTTAGTGCAGTTTAATTGTGGTTTTCATGCAGGAGACATTGTGGACTTAGTAGGTACTAGCTAGGTGACATTGTATTAGCGACACCCAAAACCAAAAACATGCATTTAATTCCCATTAAAAGTTTTCAAAAAAAAAATCCCATTAAATAATTTTGTAGGTGACAATAGTTAATAAGTAAATAATACGGAGTAACTAATTATTGCTTGTGATTAGGGATGTAAATCATGTCATCATGTTCAGTTTCACTCTAGTTCTAGCTGTCAAGTTTATGGATTCAGCCTATTAATTTTTTTGATCCCGTTCAAAATTCTTTCGGATTAGTTCGTTCGAGTAATCAGACTTATCGATTTCAAGTTAAAATTTTTTGAGGCATAACTTTAAAATTTTAGGTTTATACCAGCTCATCATTTTCGTGCTAAAATTGACATTTCCTATGATGAGTATATGTGTTGGGTACATGTATTGATTCTGGTTTAAAACTATAATTAGTTATACATGCATATCTTGTACTACCTCCATCTCATTTTATGTATCTGGTTCAGTTAACGAGATTTGACTGAAGTTATTTTTCATTCAATTTTTAAAAATATTAATTTTAGGGGTATTAGTATATAAAATTTATATATTTAAAAAAATACACTAGAAGTAGTATTGAACACAAAAAATCAAATTTAAAAATTTTAAAAAAATACTAAAAAATTAAATAAAGAAAAAGGAGTTGATTTGATTAATGAATAATAAGTAGGACAGATAAACTATGACAGGGTGAGTAATAAATAAATATAAGCCGTAGGTGCAAAGTGAGGTTCGCTTACACATGTACATAAATAGTACATATATCACTTTGTTGTTTTTTTTTTTTTTTTTTGAAAACATCACTTTGTTGTTAATTAGTACAATAGAAAGGTACTATTAAAAAAAAAAGAACTTCTTTTCCTTGTTATTCACGTTATCATTTGAGTAATTAAAATAATATTTCTACTCATATTTTTTACTCTCCTAGACTCCGACTACTTAATATGCTTTGATTGATTTAAATAAATTAGGTCACTATTTTTATTTCTTATCTTATATCTCTAATAAAATCCAAACATTTAGTATAATTATCATTTTAAAAAAATTATAGATGTATTTTCATTTACTCTATACTTTGACATTTCCTTTTTCTTTTAAATAGTTATAGACTCGACCTTGACCTAAGTAAGAGTCAAACTTTTGTGGGAGTGTTTCGAACTAAATTTAAATTAGGTTTACAATGTTAAAAATACGGTATAAAATTAAACATAAAACAAGGAAAATATTATGTGTATTCTTATTTCCTACTCCTAACATGTACTTCCACACACAAAATTTTGATGTAGACATTTGTATAAAGACCTACATGAAAAAAGTAGCTTATCAGAGTGCGTCACATCAAGGAGTAAAATTTAGGAAGTAAGATTTTGGAGTCTATGTAGTATAACTCATAAAACAAAAATTAATCAATACAAATCTTATGTTAAAACCTGGAAGTATATAATTAATCTTAAGAATACAAGTAGTACTCTGTTGACCGACTATCCATCCATCCTATCATAGCATTAAATTGTAGTACAAGTAATTAAATGTAACGCTGGGAGAAATGCATTGGTTTTCTCTATTCAGAATTGAATTGAAGGGGTAGTTGGTGGTAGGATAAATAATCCTCTATCTGTCTCATTTTATATGTTCTACTTATTATTTATTGGTCCAATTAACTCTTTCTTCTTTGTTTATTTTCTTTAATATTTTTTTATTTTTTTTGAATTTATTTTTTTTGTTTAATAATACTTTTAATGTAGTTTTTATATATATAAATTTTGTATATTAAACTTAATATTATGAAAAAATAAATTAAAAATAATTTTAGTCAATCCTCATTAATAAAACTAGACACATAAAATGGAACAGATTGAGTAATGAAGTTGTTTTTATGATAATAATGAACTACCATACTATATTATACATACAATTCATGTATTCTAGATTGAAATTATCCATGCAATTTTACCTCTTTCAAGCTTGTATATATATTTTTTTTCCTAAAATACACAGCTTGCAAGCTTTCAAAAAAAAAAAAAAAAAAAAAAAAAAAAAAAAAAAAAAACAAGAGAGTATTGGAGAGATAAAGATAGTCTCCACTTCTCTTAATTATTAGACCTGTACTATAACGGCTCCTATTTTATACTCCCTCTGTCCCATTTTATATGTCATACTTACTATTTATAAGTCAAACCAACTCTTTCTTCTTTGTTTATTTTCTTTATTATTTTTTACTTATTTTTAAATTTTGTTTTTTTTTTGTTTTTTTTTTTTTTTTGTGTTTAATAGTAATTTTAGTGTAGTTTCTAAATATATAAATTTTGTATATTAATACTAAATTTAATATTGTAAAAAATTAAATTAAAAATAACTTCAGTCAAGTTTCGTTAACCGAACTAGACACATAAAATGGGATAGAGAGAGGTACTTCACTTTCTAATTCAATGAGGTGTCATACACGGATTGATTAAAAATTGAGGAACCATTATGTACAGCGTTATACTATTTAGGAGTACATCTAGCATTTCCTAATGAGCAATGTTATATATATACCTCTAATTTATTTTTCTTACATTTTTTCTCTTGACTTAATTGGCATTATTGGTTTAAATTTTATTTTTTAATTAGAAAGGTTAAGAAGCAATTTCCTTTCCTAATCCTAATTATTAATGTGAATGTGATAGGTGACTCGTTTTAGTTGCGGCGGCTTTGCACTGGGTGTCCGTTTCAATCACACCATGGTTGATGGGTACGGGATCCAGTTGTTTCTGAAGGCCGTATGCGAATTAGCGCAGGGCGGTTCAGCGCCGTCGGTTTTGCCGGTGTGGGGGAGAGAAATGTTGACCGCCGCCGCCGCTGAGCCAAATACCCCCACCACAAACCACGCCGTGTACGGCGCCTCCGACATGCGCAACAATTTCAAGCGACTCGACATTGAGTGGTGGGGCAGCATACTTTTCAACTTTGAGAAGTTGGCGGCTAAGCCTCTCTTCTTCTTCTTCCCCAACATCTTGAAACCCATCCTTCTCAGAAGCTCTTTCGTTTTCGGCCCCAAAGAAATCCAGGCCCTCAAAGACCAAGCCGCGGCTCAGGATTTCGGGCCGTGTACCACGTTCGAGTTGATATCTGCTTGTTTGTGGAAGTGTCGCACGATTGCCTTGCAACCCAACCCCAACGCCACGGTCCGAGTCACGTTCCCCACGGATATTCGCCGGAGATCCTTCGCCGGACTGAAGTTCGACCCTGGGTACTACGGCAACGCCATTATAATGCTGTCCGCCGCCACCACGGCCAAGTTGCTGTGTGAGAGACCCATTACTTATGCCATCGAGTTGATCAGAGAGGCTAAGAACAAAGTAAGCGCTGATTATGTGAAGTCGGTGCTGGATTTCTTGGTGATTAATGGCCGGCCGAGGATGTCTGTGATGAGGAACATCTTGGTTTCGGACATTTCAAGAATTGGGTTGGAGAAGATAGATTTTGGATGGGGGGATGCGATATATGCCGGCTCCGCCACTGCCGCTTACGGGGCTACATTCTTAGAACGTCCCAAGAGCAATAGCAGTACTGAAAGGAGCGTTTTGGTACCTATATCTCTGCCTCACCTATCTATGCTCATTTTCAAACGTGAGATCAAGAAGATGACTAAGTTCAATTGATAACACTCTTTTAATTGATCTAGTGACAAACAATCTTTCTATTGTAATTTATGGAGTACTTTTTTGTATGATAACATATGTGGTTTATCTTCTCAATCAAAAAAATAAAAGAGAAGATGATTAAGTCGTTCTAGGAGACTGAGCCCATAGATAATGGGTGGCCTATTTAATTTTTATCTATGTATATGCAGGTGCATGCGTTGTTAATTTTTAGGGTGGCCTATGTATCCGGGTGCATGCGATGTTAATTACAAAGTGAATATGCAATAATATTCATAAAATTGTTATGTAAGATTCATGAATTTGAATTGATGCTAATGGAATAATTACGGATGGATTCGGAGCGAACTACACCCGAGACACCAGACCCGATCCAGACCCGGCCAATCAAACCATGAGGGGCCTGCTCCCTCGGGGTCGGCCACCATGAGGTCGGCTTCTGTGGGGTCGGCCACCCCGGGGCTCGGCCAAGAGACAGGGTCCTCGCGTGGAACGAGTCTTGCGGCGACAGTTGCAGTCCAGACAACTCCAACCGAGTTCTCCACCGTTGCCCCCGTACCCAACAACAACTCTACGTGACTCATTCATTCTCTTAGGACGCTTATGCTTGCGAAAGCACCCCCCCCCCCCCCAAGGCACTTGAAAGGGGAGAGAGTCGCCGGTGGACATGAAGATAAGTTTCAGTTTCCATTCTTCATTGAAGTCTTTTATGTTCCCCAACACCTTCGGATTAGATCGATTCGAAAATGCAATGAAGCCTCTACTATGGGCGGACGACGCACTATCCGCAATGAAGAAGAAGCGGAAAAGGGTAAGGTTGAGGCGTATGCCCACTTGAAGGCACCTAACGATGAAGGCGGTCAATACCCGGTGGGAGTTGGGAACTAGCTGACCCGGAGATATACGGTGTTAATTGAGGGCCTCGATGACAAACTCATGAAGGGGAAAAGCTATACCTCAGGAGGGAGGTAAGATGGACCCCGAAGAAATGTGGGGCGAGGGGCTCTAATATGCATACCCCCGGTGGGGGAACATGGACCTTAGCGGCCGGCTCAACTAAAGACCGTGCGAGGGAAATTTCGTAGGCACACATGGAGGCCCCGAATCCCCGTGGAATAACGGAATCAAGCGCGGTGTCCCGACTCGCAGGGAATGGAAACAGAAGAGGTGCAGGAGTCAACATGTAGGGAGGATGCATGGCTAAGGGCACAATAAAAGGATTATCGATATACGAAGGGAGAGAGGGAAATCGGTCTAAGTCAAGGGACTCGTCATCACTTAACGGGAGGTCTGAATAATCAATAGAGTTCAATATAACATGATAGTCAAAGGGCTCGGTCAACGCTAATACTCGCTCATTGCAAATAAAGGATGCTAAATGCATAAACAAGCACGGGAAAATACACAAACAAGCTCGGACACATACGTAAGGAACCCTCTAAAAGAATGGTGAAGGACTACTCACCCGACTCGACAAGATGGGAATTGATTGCAGTGAGGCGGAACTGGGCTGACTCGGCAGGGGGGACTCGGCGGGTCAACTCGTAGGCGGGTGAGCTCGGCGAGCGACGGCGGCAGCGGCTAGGCGGGGCAAAGTGGGCGGTGGCGGCGTCCGACGAAGGTCCGACAGGGAACTCGGTCGCGGCTTCAGCTCATCGGCGGGCGAAGGTGTCGGCGTGGTCGGCGGGCAGCGAGGTCCGGTGGCGACTCGGCGGTGGCGCACGGCGGCGACGGTTGCGTGGTTGGCCGAAATTTTTCTTGATGAGAGAGGGGGTGACTTTGATTGTTTGAGAGTGTGTGGGGAGTGAAGGGAAAACACTACCTTATATAGAGAAAGCTAAGGGGTGGAGGAAAAAGGGGGGAAAGTGGAAGACCATTTTGAATTTCAAAATTGGTGTTGGGAAAAGGTGAAACTTGGGGAAGAGAGATGATGTGACTTGTTGAGTGTGGGAGTCGGTTTGGAAGATTTGAAGAATATTTATAAGGAAGGAGGAAGAGTTGTAGTAGGATGAAGACTCCTAAAGAGACAAGGATTGATTGATTTCAAATTTTGTACAGCATCGGATTCCTACCGCGATAGAAAATCTACCCGGGCACGAATGGCAAATTTTGTGCGCGATTTTTTGGTCCGGAATTATTAATTGGTTGTAGTACTCTCTTGTGCTGACGACTTCTCGTAGCCACCGTGAGTGGGGGACTGATGATGGAATAATTATGGATGGATTTGGAGCGAACCAGACTCGGACACCGGACCCGGCCAAGCAAATAACGAGGGGCTTGCCCCCTCGGGGTCGGCCACCACGGGGTCGGCCTCCGTGTGGTCGGCCACCCTGGGGTCGGCCTCCTTGGGGTCGGTTACCCCTTGATTGGCTGCTTGGCCGAGCCCCGAGCTTGGCCAAGAGACGGGTTCCTCGCGTGAAGCAAGTCTTGCGGCGGCGATTGCGGTCCAGGCAGCTCCAACCGAGTTCTCCGGGGTTATTGCGACGACACGGCCTATTAAAGCACTCCTTTGTGTCCTATTGAGACATCTTCTACCTATTACATAAACTTGTCTTGTTATTACACGTCATGTACCTCTGTAGTAGCACTTTATACGTCATTAATACAATATTCGTCCCCGTGACGTGTATTCATTCATTATTATCATTATATTACTATTTATACTGATTCAATTCTTGTCACATCAAATACAATTATTATACAATATTCAAAAAGTTTTTTACTCTTTCTATCTAAAAGTATAGCCTTGTTTGAATAGCAAAACTTTGCTTAAATTATATACCATGTAATAGAGCCAGTAGCATTAAAAAAAAAATATACAATTTATTTTTTAATAATATTTAATTTAATATTATATTCTGAACAAAATTTATATATCCTTAAAATTATTTAAAAAGTTTTTTTTTTTAATAAAAAAATACAAATTCAAAATCATAAAAACTTGTTAAAAAAATTAAGAAGAGTAAAAAAAAATTGATTTGATAATAAATAATAAATATCATAAGTTAATTCTTAAGATAGTGGCTGACTATGCAGTGACTACCAAATTAGTTATCGATTTAGAACAATATAAACTTAAAGCTTTAACTATGCATATCTAATTTTGTCCATTTTGTGAACGTCAATGATTGTTACTTTTTATTGTAAGTATTTTCTCATATATAAAATATATTTTATAAGGTTAAGCTTTCCTCCTATGTTTTGAGACCCCAAAATACTTTTCCACTAAACTTCTATATATATTTTGTACTCCTATAATGATTTTTGCCAATTAGTATATAGATAAAATATTTTCAAACTCTTTATTTCAAATGATTTAATAAAAAATATTTATATATTTATTTATGGTTTTTCAAAGCCTTATTTTAGATAAATATCTGTTGATAAAAACTAGACTCAAAAGTCTATCTAAGACGAAACTGTGAATCTGATAGCCAAATTTTTTACTCAAATTTGATTTCAAAATGATCCTAACATATTTCTAAATTTATTATGTTATATTTTTATCCGAACTTGACCCAACTTTTGACCCAAAATTAGATTTTAAACTGCAAAAGGACCAAATTGCCCTTACTAGCCGTGTAGACACCATCCTCATAGGGTTTTGTGCCCTATTTAAACATCACTATTCCATTGAGCCTCTTCAATCCCTCCCTTGCTCTTCCTCACTCTCATTTGCAGGAGACTCTCACTTTGGAAGACAACAATTGTGAGCTACCACCCTCTTCCTTTCTTCTTCTTTTTTCTTTCTCCCTTTCCTCCTTCTTCTTCTTGCTCCTACATTATCTCACTGTTATCTATGTGTATATGCTTGTGTATGATGTTTGTTTGTATTCTCTTGCTTGGGTTGATAGGAGGTGAAGGAAGTGGGCAACATTTAAGGATAGAGGAGGGTTTCGTGCTAATAGGCTAACAAGTTGAGGTAACTCTAAATGGAGCTGGCCCACCAGCGTCACTTACCCTTTTTGAATGTTTGGAATGTTTACCCCTATTTGTTGCCGCTCTAGCTAGGTTCTGGTCTGGTCCTTTGGATGATAACCCCTTGGCCCTTAATTTTGGCTCCGACTTCTCTCAGGTAGGCACCCCGTTCACCCAATCACTTTAGGATGAACCTAGAACCAATAGGCCGTCTAGCCGATCCATCCCCTTCAATAACATCCTCCCTTAGCTCCATATGTTAGCCTTGGCCCTTAGAAACTCTTCTTTCGGAACGAGGTCGGCTATCCATTGCACGCGTTGCTTCTCTCCATTGGGTTCTCTCTCATTGTGGTGACATCACCTCAACTTCTTTTTTGGGTGGCGGCATGAGAACCAAATTTTGCATCCCTGCCACCAAGCGGGTTAGTATCGTTGCTGCCTGCTGAATAGCTCGTACACACGCTTGGAGGTCCACAGGTGAAACTGGTGCTTCGAGCTCTTGCTACCCTTTGTCATGATTGCTATTGAGTTGGTCGTACAGATCACGTGAGTTTTTCAGCCGAGCGTGTCCATTAGTTTTCCCATTGAGGTTCACGTTGTAGGAACTATGGGACTTACGTTGTTTGATCCAGATCATGTCATTATTCAAAACTCATTGATGAGAAAGAAAGACTTATGTGATAGCCTACTTGAGAATTGATCTTAAACTCTGAATGAAAGCACCCGTGACGGTAAGATGTTACAGAAAAGTAATTACAAGTAAATAGATAAGTAATAGTATTGCTGATACTTTGAGTACAAGGTTTTGCGTGTCCGCTACCTGGTACAGGAGCTAAGCATTTATACTAGTTAATGGGTAATTAATTCGGTGTAATAAGTACAACGGCTGCATACTTAATACCCCTAATAACTGCAACGTTATCCCTAATAAGTGCAGTAACTATATATGTGTTAAGTGTAACGAACACTTTCACCACCACTACTATTTATATTTGATTATTGTCTTAATTGCTTTGACTTCATATTTGACCAAGAGTGTTTCGGATTGGAACCGAGACTCTGTAGTTATCCAATTAACCCATCACAAAGTATTAGAATAAAAATTAAACATTGAATTACAAGGCTGAATATGAAGTAATATAGAACCACAAATATATTTATTGTTGCATTTAGAAAATTATGAAAATAGGAATTCAGAGTATATGTAGGGTAACGATCATCGATCCCTTATGGCGTCGACGAACTAGTCATCTTCTTGAACTCACGTTTGAAGATTTGCATATATATATGAGGCAAAGATATGGGTACCAAAATGCTCTTCTCAGTAGTACTGTCGTCGCTGCTCTTCGGCCGTTCTAAGAAAGTAGCCCCGTAAGCTGCAATGGAGGCCCC